GCAGTGCGTAGAGCTCCAGCCACCAGTCGTCGTCCTCCTTCTTGCCGTTCCCGACCTCGTGGCGGCCGCAGTCCAGGATCACGCCTGGGCGGCGTCAGTCGAGGGGGCGGCGCCCAAGACAGCCGACGGCCCAGGGCGAGAGTCCACGGGACCGAGAAGGTCCGGCTGCGGACCGCTCGCGTTCGAAGGGTTCGGCCGTAGACTGCCCGGTGGCGCCGTTCCCCCGCCCCGCCGCCTTCCCGCATGGTGCGCCCCTGGCACGCCACCGTGGTGATGACCTTGCCGTGTGAAAACGGGAAGCCCGTCCGGGTGACCTTGGAGGTGCGGAAGGTGAACGGCTCCGACGTGCGGGGCTCGATGAACACCAACGGGCCCGTGAGGTCCCCCGTGAGGCTGTCGTCGTGGCGGGCGGCATGCGAGGTCTGCCACTGGGGCCTTCGGTGGAGCTCCCTATGGGGCCAGGAAACGTGTGAGGGGTGTGCCGAAATGGGGTGGCGGCGGCAAGCGAACGCAGCCATTTGGGCCTTCGGTGGAGCTCCCTGTGGGGCCACGCAACGTGTGACGGGTGTGCCAAAATGGGGTGGCGGCGGCATGCGAACGCAGCCATTTGGGCCTTAGATGGAGCTCCCTATGGGGCCACGAAACGTGTGAGGGGTGTACCAAAATTGGGTGGCGGCGGCATGCGGACGCAGCCATTTGGGCCTTCGGTGGAGCTCCCCATGGGGCCACGAAGCGTGTAAGGGGTGTGCCAAATATGGGGTGGCGGCGGCATGCGGACGCAGCCATTTGGGCCTTAGATGGAGCTCCCTATGGGGCCACGAAACGTGTGAGGGGTGTGCCAAAATTGGGCGGCGGCGGCATGCGGACGCAGCCATTTGGGCCTTCGGTGGAGCTCCCCATGGGGCCACGAAGCGTGTGAGGGGTGTGCCAAAAATGGGGTGGCGGCGGCATGCGGACGCAGCCATTTGGGCCTTAGATGGAGCTCCCTATGGGGCCACGAAACGTGTGAGGGGTGTGCCAAAATTGGGCGGCGGCGGCATGCGGACGCAGCCATTTGGGCCTTAGATGGAGCTCCCTATGGGGCCACGAAACGTGTGAGGGGTGTGCCAAAATTGGGTGGCGGCGGCATGCGGACGCAGCCATTTGGGCCTTCGGTGGAGCTCCCTATGGGGCCACGAAACGTGTGAGGGGTGTGCCAAAATTGGGTGGCGGCGGCATGCGGACGCAGCCATTTGGGCCTTCGGTGGAGCTCCCTATGGGGCCACGAAACGTGTGAGGGGTGTGCCGATGATGATGATGATGATGATGATGATGATGATGATGATGATGATGATGATGATGATGATTATGATGATGATGATGATGATGATGATGATGATACCCGACCCCATGAAGAAGCTCCTCGGTGACGGGCGGCTACACGCAGAGGCTGCGCAGCACGGGCGACCTCCTGCTTAAGGCCCTGATCCTCCCTTCAAAGTGCTGCACAGCATGAACAGAGTCAAATCTTTCCTCCATTCTCTGAGCGTTGAATGTGCTGAACCCCAAATCAAGCGAAACTGCTAGTGCATGCAGCTGTTCACCTGTGCTCCACGTATGGGAACGCATGAAAACACGATCAAGGAAGCTGAGCTGTGACCAGAGAGGGGGCAGAGCAGGAAGCAAGCGAGAGACAGAGGCAACATAGATGGGACAAACAAGATAGTGTTCGAGCGAGTCACCTCCCACGGCACAACACCCGAAACGGCACGAAAGGGTCCCCTGATGGAACCTACGGGTGGTGCACCAGGAGTTGCAAACGGATTTGACAACACTAATTCCTATAAACACGGGCAATGCTTTATTTATTACACGCAACTGCGACACAAAATCGTTGGCTTCACTCACAGTGGCATCACTACTCCAGTACTTCATTCTGGAAAGAAATCTTCTGGCCATAGGAATATTGAACATATGGGGTCTCAGGGCCTTCTCGGTTTTCTTCTGGAGCTCAGCACAGGGGGCTTGCGGAACCTGAGGAATACGCCAAATACGATCATATAAAGAGATCATCTGGTACAGGATGCTATTGGAGCGCCATTCTGGAAGACTTGGGGTAAGAGTCCTCTCGTCACTTGCCTCTGCGCTCTCAAGAGTTAGTCGCCCTCTGTGGAAGGCTGAAGAGTAAAAAGCAGCACGATATCTGGCGGCGTCACACACCAATTGGAAGCAACGGACCTCAGCCCCAAATTGTAGGTCCTTGAAATCGCGCAGCACGTCCGTCGGGATCGAAAAACGCGGGGAGGCAGTGAGCAACTGGACCACATCCCGTTCTTTTTTCAGTGCCGTATTAGATGGAGGGTAGAATTGCATAATATACGATAGTACAGTGAAGCCGTACGTGTTGTAGGCCAGGATGCTCCCCACAAGAGACTTTCCAAGAGCCCTAATCAGAAGTCCCCGAGCACGACACTTAGCGATTGGCTTTTCCCAAACGACTTCATGAGCCCCAGGACCCATCCATACACCAAGATACAGAACCTTCGACCGAATCTTGAAACTGCGAATACGAACTCCGTACCTACGAAATTCTCCAGCGATGTCCGATTGCGGAAATAAGAAACACAACTCCGACTTCGAGAGGTTCAAGACCAAACCTGCTGCTCCTGCAGCACTCACCCACAATCTAAGAACTGGCGGTAAGCACTCGTACATGTTGGCGCTCGTGAGGCCAACGTCGTCAGCAAATGCTCTTAGCACTCCAGGAACTGGCAAAGCCTCGATCATGCTCCGCAAGATCGGGTCGAAACACAGCGCGAAAATGACTCCGCTAAGCGGACACCCTTGCTTGACCCCTCTTTCCACAGGAAACTGATGATCACGGCAGCCATTAAAAGACACCTTCATCTGGATGTCTGTGTAAAGAGCACGCACTGCACGGACAATAGCTGGGGGCAATTGCATGGCTTCCAAAATGTGAAAAATCCAGGAATGATAAACCGACGGGAAAGCGGCTTTGACATCGAAAAGACAGATACCAGTTTTTCTTTCGCCATATATTGTCCCGTGCTCCAGTAAGTCGGCCTCCAGATCGATAATATTGTCGACAATCTGCCGACCTGGTACAAATCCACGCTGGCAAGCATCGACCGTATGCACAGACACACGAGCCAGAGGGAGCGCCACCGCGCTGGCAATAATCTTATTGCACGAATTGGAGAGCGAGATAGGTCTCGTAGTGGCTGGTTCCCTGAATATCCCCCTTCTCGCGTCCTCCGCCTCCTCCCCTTTGGGTAAGAACACTGCAATGCACTCGTTAAAATCAGCAGGCAGCTCGCCGTGCGAGAACAGGCGCTCGTAGACTTCGTATAAGAGTTCTTTTCCCACTTCCCCCACCTTCCAACAACTGTATGGTAATCCATCCGCACCCGGGGCCGAGTCCTTCAACCTATCAATGCGTTCGAAAAATTCTTCGCGGCACAGTTGCCATTCAACATGATCTGGAGCGATCTGTACAAACTCGTCAAAGGCAGAGTACGCAGCAGCACAGGCTTCTTTACTTCTGTGAACCTCCCCCCAGTGTGCAGCAAGATGGCGGGAACATTCTGCAGGGTCTGTCATCTCCCTCCTCTGGTCGTCATAGATGCCTACAAAAGGAGCTACTCTGCGAACTCTTGCCCAGGCTTGCTGCAATCGGTTGATACGCTTGACGCGGGCGTCTTTTATGGCCTGCGGCAAGCTGCTTCTAAGAATCTCCTCCTCCTCCTCCGCCAGATTCTGAAGGGTTAGCCTCTGAAGATGCTGGTGGAAGCCCTCGAGATCATTCCAAACCCCCTCCTCCTCATTCACGAACTCCTTCAGAGCAGGATAAGCTCGAACAGCTCTCCTGAGAACAGCATGTTTGTTCGCGCGCACTGCATTCAAGACCGCATACATCCAGCTTACTTTATCGTGAATAGTTCTGGCTCCCCTTTCCTCCCTCTTCCGCCTTGCCCTCATCCCCGCTTCGTATAGCACATGTTTATATTGTGATAGCTTCTCCCCAATCGTACCTTCCAAAAAAATCTCAGACAGTACTTCTACCACAGCGTCCTTAAATTCTGCTGTCTTGGCCAGCCACGCTGGAACCTGATCGTAACGAGGAGCACGCCGAACTCCAAGGCTAAGAAAAACAGGCGCATGATCACTGCACCAGTCAGAAACTCCATACCCAATCACCCCCGTCATAGGTTGTAGATCTTTGAGAACCGCAGGAAAGCAATTAACATATATACGATCTAATCTCGCCATCGAAACAACGTTCCCCCCCACCTCCTCCTTGTGTGTATGCAGGTTTTGCTCAACTTCACCAAAGTCGGTAAAAAGGTTATCGAAGTGCTCGGCAAGCGTGTGTGCATTATTGTGGTGAGTGCCGTCCCCATACTGTCGAGACTCGCCTGACGCATAGAAATTAAAGTCGCCTGCCAATATTCCGAGCCCCTGAGCAGGACAGAGAAAACGATCTCGAATCTGGCGCAGGAGAGCACGTTTGGCAGGCCGAGAGAGGGAAGGAACAAGATGAAGGCAGCATACCTGAAGAACTCCTTCAGGTCCAGAGCAAGAGAGAAGAATGCATCGCCCTGCTAAGATCACAGCACAGTCTATAGAGTGAAACTGCTCGGCAAATTCTGGCGCAAGACAAATCATACATCCACCTGCACGCGCTTCCTCGCAGAAGCTCCCAAAGAACAGGTATCCTGGCATGTCTCGCTTCACATTGCTAAGATCCCCTTCCGAGCCGTGCACCTCCTGGCAGCAGACAATATCGTGCCGTTCGAGAAGGTGTCTAAATCTGGCATACCTGCGCTCTTGTACCCTATGTTCACCATGAACACTCCCAAACAGAGCTTTCGTATTCCAGGTACACACCTTGACCCGTTTCTTCGGTACGTATGCTGTGCGAGAAGGGATGTCTTCTGTGATGATGTCCTCGACGTCCTCATCCTATGGGAAGGAGACACGAGAGATGATGCCCTGGGCGCCTGCTTCGTTCATCTGGATCTGAGAGAGATCCTCCACCATGGGTGTGATGCGGTACCCGCTGCTCTGCTCCTCAACCTTGAACAGCTCCCAGGCCTCGATTCCGTTCGAGAAGTACAGCGAGCCCTTGTACGCGTTGGTGCCCAAACTACATACTCCTTCACGCCACAAATGGTGAGAGAGGAGGTGCTCTTTGATCATACGCCATAGCTGACTCAATACGAAGCCCCTCTTACGGATCTCCAACGGTTTGTGCGCACCAGCACGAATCTGGTGCTGAACGTTGTCCCGAGGGTCGACCCAGTCGCATTCCATCTGCCGAGACGCGATGCCGTCCTTGAACTGCTGTGCGTGAGTCTTGCTCGGGAACACAACCATGTACGAGAAGGACATGTTATGAAATACAGGCTTGACATTGTGTTTGATCGAGTCATGCAGAAGGGGTAACACTTTCGTCTCATAGTGAGCCTTGAACTGCGGAGCCAACATCTTACGCGGAAACCCTCGGAGCCATATCTTATTGTCATCGTCTCCCTGAGAACTGGAGCCACTGCCTGAACTGGACTGGTATGCAGCCCATGGATCAGCGCGCGTGGAAGGGGTGCCCCCGCCGATACTCCCGCCGCTCTCGATCTTCACGATACGGTCCGTCATCGCCTGCTGGTTCTGTTGGAGCGAGTCGAGGGTGATCTGGATGGCAGCGCACCTGGCCTCGGCCTCCGACCGCACGATGTGGAGGTTGTGCGACATCTCATTCCGCAGCGTGCCCATCGACTCGTGTATAGATTTGGTCATGCTCCCGCTGAACTCCAACATCAGCTCACGGAACATTGGTTTGAACTCCTCCGCCGAACAAGCTGGAGACTGCTGGCTCATTGGTGCTGGCGACTCCATGCCTCGGCTGTCGGGAGACAGTGAGCGCCGTGCAGAACGTGAGGAAGACCGTCGACTTTCTTTCTTCACGTGACCCTTCTTAGCACCCCGCCGATCTCTTGATGGCGAGGAAGAATCTGAACGCCGGTGATCCTTTCCCATGCTGTGCCAGAGAAACTATTCACAAAATGTGGAGTTCCGTGGCCAAAAGCCCTGGTCGGAAGCCTGAACTGGGCTCGCTTCCAAACCAAGGCGAAGCTGTCCTGGCCAGCTGCCTTGATAGATGTTTTACTTGAGCCAAAATGGCTTGAGCCAAAATGGCTTGAGCCAAAATGGCTACGGATGATGATGATGATGATGATGATGATGATGACCGACAACCACGATGTGGATGATGATGATGACGATACTCATGATGATGAGCATGGTGAGGATGGTGATGATAATGGGAGGAGGGGGGAGGGGGCAGCGGGAGGAGGAACGCGGGGCACCGTCTCTTCAAAACGAGGACCCAACACCACAGGATGGTTGGGAAAAAGCCCAAAAGACCTCCAAGAGGTTCCCCGGAAGGCTCGAAGAGATGGAAATCAGGAGTTTCCCCTAGATGTTTCACGGATTTGGGCATTTGCTTCTTTTCGGCCTTACGACGGGCCAAGACGGCCCAAGAGGCCCTGAAAATCGCAGCAAGATGGCTCCAAAGGCCTCCACAATGACCTCCCTCGCCTGATCTTCCTCTTCCTTCTCCACGTGTTCCCCGAATGCTTTCCAAGCCGACTCGGGGAACACATGGTCCGATAGCTTCGCCGAGCTCTCACTCAGCCTGCGGCCACGTAGGCATTTCCCAAAACGCAGGGGTCGGCGGTGATTCGCCGTAATTCGGCGTCTTCGATCCGCCGCCCCTGTGGCCTTGCCACAGGGATGCTCGGAATACTGAACCCTACACGGTTTGGTTCGGGTTCTTTTTCCAAAAGAACTACCCTTGGGGCTTCGGCCCGTCCCGCCGGCCACCCGGAAAATCCCCAAAACGCATCCGTCGTGCTTCCGTCGTCGCCAAAACTGCCGTTTCGCTCGGGACATCCTCAAAACATCGCTCGGGCCGTCCCGCGGGCCACCCGGAAGGGGCCCGAAACAACCTCAACGTGCTCCAACAGTGCTCCAAGGCGGCTCAAGATGGCCACCAAGAGGGCAAGGGTGCCCAAGGTGGCCTCCCAATTCGCCCAAGATGGCCCAGTATGGCCTCCAAGAGGGCCCAAGAGGGTCCAATATGCCTCGATGTTCGCCCAAGAAGCCCCCAAGACGGCCCAAGAAAGAGGCCTCCAAGACGGCCCTGGAGCACACCAAGAGGGCCCCAAGTCGGCCCAGAGAGGCCCCCAAGACGGCTTCCGACGGCGTCAGACGGGCCAGGAGGCCATCAAGACTGCCCAAGATGGCTCTAAGATGGTCCAAAACGGCCCAAGAGGAGTCCAAGACGGCCCAAGAGGTCCCCAAGAGGGCGCCCAGGAAGGCCCGAAGAGGCCGAAATCATTGATGGCCCTGAATTGCTTGAAGGATTTTGGCACTTGTCTCTGTTCGGCCTTCCGTCGGCCCGAGACGGCCCGAGAGCACCTAAATATTGCCCCAAGATCGCCCAAGAAGCCTCCAAGATGGCCCCAGAACGGCCCAAGAGGCCTCCAAGACGGCCCCAAGAGGGCCCCAAGACGGCCCAAGAGGCCTCCAACACGCCCAAGATGGCCTCCAAGACGGCCCTGGAGCACGCCAAGAGGGCCCAGAGAGGCCCCCAAGACGGCTTCGGACGGCGTCAGACGGGCCAGGAAGCCACCAAGACGGCCCAAGATGGTGCCAAGATAGCGCAAGACGGCCCAAGAGGCCCCCAAGAGGTCTCCAAGACGGCCCAAGAAGCCACCAAAAAGGCAATTTGTGCTCGGACTTCGGATCGCCCGAGACGGCCCAAGATGGTTCCAAGATGGCCCAAAGGCCCCCAAGAGGTCTCCAAGACGGCTCTGGAACCCCCGAAGGATCATTTGTTTTTCGTCTGCCTTCCGACGACCCGGGACGGCCCAAGAGCACCCAAATACGGCCCCAAGATCGCCAAAGAGGCCTCCAAGATGGCCCCAGAACGGCCCAAGAGGCCCCCAAGACTGCCCCAGGAAGGCCCCAAGACTGCACAAGAAGCCTCAAAGACGCCCAAGATGGTCTTCAGGACGACCCTGGAGCACGCCAAGAGGGCTCCAAGTCAGCCCAGAGAGGCCCCCAAGACGGCTTCCGACGGCGTCAGACGGGCTAGGAATGTCCTAAGACCGCCAAAGAGGCCACCGAGAAGCCCCCAAAGGCCCCCAAGAGGCCCAAGGAGGCCCCCAAGATGCCTAAAAGAGGCTCCCAGGAAGCTCCCAGGAGGCCCCAAGAGCGCCCCCAGAGGCTCCCAAGATGTCCCCTCCTTTTTTCTCCTCCCCCTCCTCCTGATCTTCCCCGCTGTCCTCCCCCAAATATTGCCCGAAGGGATTTCACAACGGCTGGGGGAGCACATGGTCCGATAGCCTGGCAGAGCTCTTGCCACAACGCTCGGCCACATGGGCGATTCCAAAAGGCAGGGGGGCGGCGGTGATTCGCCGTAGGCGTCTTCGATTCACATCAAATCGCAGCCGCATCTCGAGGAGCAGCCAGACGAGGAGGAGGAGAAGGAGGAGGAAGAGGAGGAGGAGGAGGAACGAGAAGGACGAGGAGGCCCCCAGCGATGGAAAGGATGTCTGAATCGCTGGACGTCAACCGGCTGGTAGACAACATGACCCGAGGTGCCGAGAAGAAATTGGCCCAGCCGCGCAGCTCAAGCAGAGCTCTTACGCCATCCCGCATGTATGGCGACACGGGAGGGGGGGGGCAGCAGAAGTGGGAGGGGGCGGCGAAATAGGGCCCCAAAGTGCGAAGCACAGCGGGAGCGATGGGGGGAGGTGGGAGAGTGGAGGGGGGGGAGGGGAGGGGAGGGGAGGGGGGTGGGCAGGGAAGCGAATGTGAGAGGTGGGGGAGGGGAAGTGAATGGGAAGGGAGGGGAGCGGAGGGGAGGGATGGGGTAGGAGGGGAAACACATTGATAAGGGGGGGATAGGTGAGAGTAGGGGAAGGAACATGGAGAACACCCACTGCCATTCCTGCGCCTGCCAGCGCTCCAACGCAGGTCGCGCGAAGGATGGAGGGAGGAAACGCCGCCCCCGCGATACAGGGCGCGCACGGGACCACACCATCCCCCCTGAAGCTCCAGCCTCCACTTCGCCTGCCACCTCCGCCTCCTCCTCCTCCTCCTTCTCGTCCTCGTCCGCCTCCTTCTCCTCCTCCTGCCTCATCCTGCCTCCTCCTCCTCCTCCTGCTCCTCCTCATCGTCATCACCACCACCACCACAATCAGCAGCAGCAACAACATCATCAACTCCTCCACAGCATCCTCGTCTTCCTCTTCATCCGTATCATGTTCCTCCTCCTCACCACCACCACCACCATCACAACCACCACCACCACCACCACCACCACCACCACCACCACCATCATTACCATCATAAGCATCATGAACATCATCATACTAATAATCAAAATCATCCTCCTCCTCCTCATCGTCATCATCATTACAAGTCGCACCGTTCCTCATCGTCATCACCATCAACATCATCATCATTCCATCAGTACAGCATCAATATCATCGTCACGCTGTTCATCATCATCGACATCAACAACAACATCATCAACATCAACATCAACATCACCATCGCCACCGTCGTCATCATCATTGTCATCCTCCTTCCTCAATCGTATTCCTGCTTGGCCGCCTCCTCCTCCTGATGTTTCCTCCGCCTCATCCTCCTCCTCCACATGTTCCTCCTTATCCTGCTCGTCACGAAATCTATCATCATTAGCATGATCGTCGTCATCGTCATCATCGTCATAGTCATCACCATCAACACCATCATCACCACCATCCTCATCATCATCATCATCATCATCAACACTATCATCGTCATCGTCATCGTCATCATCATCATCATCATCATCACCATCATCACCGGCATCAGCATCATCATCAGCATCATAAGCATGACCATCATTATCATCATCATCGTTATCACCATCATCACCACCACCATCATTGTCATCATCAACATCATCACCAGCATCACCATAATCATCACCGTCATAGTTCAAGTCATCATCATCAGCAGCAACATCATCATTACTGCCATCAACAACAGACATGTCTACTCCTCCCTATTGTTGTTACTCTTTGTCGCTCTCTCTCCTCTCTCTCTCTCTCTCCCACTCTGTACATCGGTATCTCTGCATAGGTACCTACAGGATACAAATATGTAGCCCTATTTCTCTTTCTCTCTGACTCGCTCTCTCTCTCTCTGTCTATATATGTCTCTCTCTATCTATATATGTATGCATCCCCGCTTATTCGTCAGATTCGTCCTCTTCACATCCTCATCCTCATCCTCATCATCATCCTCCTCAACATCCTCCTCATTCTCATCAGCATCCTGTCCTCATCCTCACTCCTCAATATCCTCCTCCTCATCCTCTCACATCTAGCGCAAAGAGAACTATGCACATACACCGATTCTGGCCAGGCCCATTCTGAGCCCAGGACTGGTGCATGCGCCCTCTGACCTTGGCCGGGAAGGTAGATGTGCCGATTCTGAGTCAAGGATGGGCGTTGCCAGGATCGGTGCATGTGCATAGCTCTCTCCCCCCGACCATTCATTCTTCTCATCCTCCTCCTCTCACAACCTCCTCACACATCCTCCTCCTCCTCCTCCTCCTCCTCCTCCTCCTCCTCCTCCTCCTCCTCCTCTCCCATCCTCCTCATCCTCATCTTCTCCCATCCTCCTCCTCCTCCTCCTCTCCCATCCTCATCCTCCTCTCCCCTCCTCCTCCTCTCCCATCCTCCTCCCCCAGACGGGGAGAGCGGACACCTCGCCCCAGCGTCCCCAGGGGGGGGGGGGCCTTCCGACCAGCACTCGCGACAGGAAGGCGGCCTTCGTGCCGTTCGCGCCGCCTGGGTCAAAGGGCGGGAGGCCGGGAGACGGCCCTCGGGGTCTGGGGAGGAGGAGAGGGGGCTGAGGAGGGGGAGGAGGAGGAGGAGGAGGACGAGGAGGAGGAGGAGGAGGAGGAGGAGGAGGAGGAGGAGGAGGAGGAGGAGGAGGAGGAGGAGGAGGAGGAGGAGGAGGAGGAGGAGGAGGGGGAGGAGGAGGAGGAGGAGGAGGAGGAGGAGGAGGAGGAGGAAGGGAGGAAGACGAGGAAGATGAGGAGGAAGAAGAGGAGGAGGCCGGCTCTCGGGGTCAGGGGAGGAGGAGAAGGGGTCGGAGAAGGAGGAGGAGGAGGAGGAAGAGGAGGAGGAGGCGGAGGAGGAGGCGAGGAGGAGGAGAAAAGGAGGATGATGATGAGGAGGAAGAGGAGGACCAGTGCAGACCCAAGACGCATCAACAATGTTGCAATACATGCTCCCTCTAAGTCCCCTCCTCACAGGTCCCTACCCGAGTCTTTTATCATTGCGGGAAGTGCCCTACATCGGGGCCATGTAAGATCCTCGGATTTTCGTCATGTCGCTCGCTAGCGGAAGCCGACGGAAGTACAGCATGGCGGAAAACGGCGGAAGGCCGCTGGAAAGCTTGCGGAGGACAGTGGAAGTCAACTACGCCTTGTCCGACCCCCCCCACCCCTCGTAGAAGCCTAGCAATGTAATCTTCCGCCGTGGGCTGGGCGGGATCCCGCCTAACGTACTCCCCATCAATACTATAATTTTAATCCAGCCAAACTAAAACCCCAGCCATTTAAACAGGGTAAACAGTCATCCCTGGCCGTCCACGGATCCCACCATGCTGGGATCGTTTCGAGCTAGGATGGGGCTCCACAGTTGCAGCATTCCTGGCATGTCAGGGTCGTCTTGAGATCATCTTGAGATCATGTCTCGGTCATGCTTGGATCGCGCAGCCGTCGCGTGTTCATTCTGGGGCCACCCTGGGCGCGCGTGGATCCATCTTGTTGCCATCGGGCCATCTCGGCGTCACTCGTGGCTCATGTGTTCGGTCATCTTCGAATCGGCCTGGGACTGCCCAGAATCCATGGCGGGATCGTGTTGGGGTGGCGTCATCCCAGGGTCTTCTGGACGTTACCGTCTGTGGCCTCAGGCCCTCTTGGAACCATTTTGTGGCCATGGGGGCGTCGCGGACTCTCGCGCGAGCGAGCGCGGAGCACGCACGCGCGACAATTCATGTCGCCGATGGGCGTGCACACACATACTTGTTGTTGCGAGTTTCCAGGGAATTGGGACTTCAGCGCCGCCGATTGCTGCGTCCTGACAATCCTAAATGGCGCTAGAACGCCATTCCTGGGACCTGAGCCATGCGAATCCTTGGAACTCTGGCAAACTTTGAAGACGAGTGCGCGCGGCGCTAAGGCGAGAGGCACATGTTGAAAACGGACTGCCCTACATCTTTGAAGCTGTTGCTGGCTTTTCAAGCGTACGCGCCGCATTTTGACAACGGCCCGCCCTTGATCCTAGAAGATATTACAGGGCAGTGTTATACATAGGATTTCACAACAGATATATGATTTTTTAATACATGATTAATGCATGAATGAATTGTTATGCATGAGCTCATCGTTGTTTTTAATGCTGAACCCCTGCATTTTGAATACATGATCCGCACGCGGAGCATGTATTAAAAACGGCACTGTACACACTTGTCGAACGAATGTGAACGGCGCCATGGCGAGAATCACATCTTGGAAGCCACCCGCCCCCCACCCGTGAAACGGCTGCACGGCTTTTTAGGGCGAACGTGCGCGGTGCCTCGGCGAGAGCCACATTTTGAAAACGGCCCGCCCTTCATCCGCGAAACGGTTCCAAAGATCAAGCTTCAGGGCCATGCATGGTAAAGAAGTCTCTGGCGAAACGCCCGGCCCGCCCCACCGACACGTCTGGAGGTGCAGCAGGGAGAGGTTTGTTTTCAGGCAAAGGGATGGAGGAGGAGGAGGAGGAGGAGGAGGAGGAGGAGAACAAGAGCACACATGCCACGGTTCCAGCCCCTAGTCCGAGCAGCGACAAAAAAGAGATGGAGAAGGGGAGACGGGAACATGGGAAGGAGGAGAAGGAGGACGACGACGGCGACGAAGATGGAAGAGGAGAAGACGAGGACGAAGAGAGGAGTGGCGCCAGGGGCACGAAGGGATAAGGAGGACGGGCAAGGAGGAGGAGGAGGACGGGAGGGAGGGGGAGGGAAGGAGGGGGAGGACGACTAGGAAGGAGGTTGACCGAGGCCGAGGAAGAGGAGGAAAGAGGAGAAAGGAACATGAGTCCGCCGACCCACGCTGTTGGGGGTGAGACGGCGTGCGAGATGCTCGGCGGTCCTCCTCCCCAGTAGTTCTTGCCTTGTCTGTGGGGGTCCAACATCCGACCGAGGGGACGGGCGGGGACGGACGGACGCGCAGCCGACGGACCCAGACGTCTGGCCCATGAGGGCAGCGCGTGGAAACCGCAACCCCTCACGTGATGACGGTCTTTGAAGTCCATGGCAAAGTGCGCACCCCCAGTCCAGCGTTTTGTGGCATGTGTGAGTAGCCGGCATGTGATCAGAACTCGTCTCGCAAACCTTCTCAGAAAAACGGAATATTTTTGGGCGATGGGGGAGGACGAGCTCTCCAGCGCGCATTCTGTGCCTTCAGACCCCTTCGGAACTCGCAAGCATGGTCCAAGGTGGCAGCCTAGGGTACCCAGGATGGCCAAACTTGGCTCTGAGATGACCCCAGGAAGCTCCAGTGGCCCGAATCCGGGATCAAAGAAAGGTCTGGTCAGCGTTCGGGCCGATCGAGTCCCTTCAGGTGATGCCTAGGAGGCCCGAGTGCCGACCTGACTCATAGCGGCCATGAGGCGATAGTTTCACAACTGATTTGTCAGGTCAGTGCTCGGGCGGCCCTGGTCGCACTCTAGAAACTCCCCTGTAGCCCAGCGCTGACCTGACTGCTGCCCTGTTCCCTGCAGGGGGCCCACGGTAACTCTGCAAAGGGCCCAGGACAACCCCAATCCAGCAGTTTCGCTTGGGCTTCTGCCGCACGAGACGCCAAGACGGCCCAAACTGTCCCCAAGATGGCCCCGGCATTGCCCTGTGTATAGGCTCCGGTCGGCTTCCAAGATGGCCCTGACACTACTCCAAGGGGCCCCGAAAAAGGCCCAAAGAGAGCCCCCAAATGGCTCACAGGTCATCCAAAATGGTTCAAGACAGCCGTCAAGCGGCACTCAAGAGGCCCCTTGGAACCTCCTTCTAAAGCCTCCTGGAGCCCACCCCCAAGAGCCCCCTGGGACACTCCGTCACCCCACGAAGGCATTCAAACAAAGACTGTCTCATCGCCTCCTCGTGCTTTCGGACTTCGATGGCAAAACAGGGGCTGGAACGCGTTCCGTTGTGTTGCGCTCGAGATGCTCAGCGACTGCTTCTCCCCCAGCGCGAGTTTCACACGACAGCTCGAGGACGCTACCACCACCCAACAAACTCCCAAGCCCATGATCACACAAGCACATGGCAAACATGACACACGATGGGCTGGCGGAATGCGCGAAGCAGTCGGAGTCGGCGGGCCCCAGGCGGACCCTGGCCGCGTGGAACCCCGCGGAGAGATGGTGAAGCGATGATGAGATGGATGGTTGCTGCGATTGCATGCGTAAACCGTAAACCCATGCTAGGAGCAACTCCGCGCATTCCGCTAGCCAAATGCCCCCGACTCTCCCAGGACACGTGGAACAATACTGGTGATCTGTGTTCCCAGGGTCACGCCCTCCCCCCCCCCCTGCGGCCGCCCGCTCTGTCCCTACTCCTCCTCTTACATGCTGGCCAATTCGCTACAACGGTGCCTCCGTTTAGTTAGCTTCTTCCGCCAGCGCGGACGACCCCTGCCTAGCCGCCGGCGCAAAAAGTTCCCTGGGCCACGAAGGCTTCAACTCGGCACCCCTCGCGCATGTCCTGCGCCCCAAGGCCTCTGAGACACGTAAGAGATACAAGGGACTCAACTCTCCTAGGAGCCTCGTTTCATATCACACCCCTCACGCACTTTGTGAATCATAGAAGCCCACCCGGCACCGAAGACGGCTCCTTGGGGCCCCAGGCCGGCTAATTCCTCAACCACTTCGTGCCTCATGAACCCCAGGGGTCCCCATCTAGCCTTTCAAGACGGCTCAGTGGGGCCTCATTCCAGCACACGCCCGTCACGCAGTTCGTGCCCCACGGACCTCCAGAGGCGCTTAACAATTCTGCTGTGATTCTTCTTTCTACTCCGAGTTTCTTAATAAGCATGGGGGGGCGTCAACCCCGCCGACAGCCCCACATCGACCCCGGTCGCGGGCAGCTACCGCGCGCCGAAGGCGCTCCGAGTTCCGTCGCGGCGCGACGACGAGGCGAGGTTGACCCCCGTCGGGTGGGTATCCCCCCACGCTTCTTAAGACACCCAGAGTACGCACCCCTCATCCACTTTGTGCTCGGGGTCTTTCAAGACGGCTCAAGAGGGCCCATGTCGGCACATCCCTCATGCACTTTGCATCCTTTGGACTTCCAGAGGCGCTCAGCTAGCCCTCTAGGTGGCTGGAGGAGTCCTCATTTCGGTACATCCCTCACGCAAATCGTGCGCCATGGATCCAAAGGGCGATCGATCTATGGGTGGCGCGCTATGATGCCTTCATGGTTACGTAATTATCGTTGTAGCCTTGGTGCTAAATGGGGTGGAACTGTATAGCTGGCGCTTTAACTATTTCGAGATAGCATGCTCGCCAGGGTGCCCCATGAGTTGGGTTATACGTAAGGGGCGATATGGTGCTTCAGCTGCTGCAGCTGATGGTTCTTGCCCCAGTGCCAAAAGGGTGATGTTCTGCGGCTGGTGCTATGAAGCCTTACTGGTTGCGATGTCTTGCTCTTGTCCTGGTGCCGCATGGGTATTGCTCCCTGGCTGGTGCCATATGATGCCTTCATGGCTGCGTTGTCTTGCCGCTCCCAGGTCTCAGGGTCCTCT